GCGCTAAAATATTAAATATTGACACTTAAAAGGATAAATAAAAATATCTATATCAAATAAAATGACAGTTTGTGGTAAAGTGCTGGGTAAAAAACTGATAGTAACTTCAAACTTCAGTGATGTGCCAGAAGTGTAGTAAAAATATGCTCTCACCAGATGCGTATTTTAAATACGCATGTAAACAATATAGCCAGAGGTCCCCCTCTCAGGATGGGATGGATCAGGATGGGATGGATATGCCGTTTACGGATTCTCCTCCCTCTGGGTGGTGTACAGCCTTAAAGGTATCTCCTTGGTGGGTGCAGGTTGGATCCAGCCAGAAGCCTCCTTATTGGATGGATGCTTAACAGCCAGTATTAATGGAAAAGCTCCCTCCTCGCCATGGTTGCCATGCTGCCGCTTCTTCAGCACTGATACTCCACTGGGCCGGAAGGAGATAGTTCTAGATAGATTTTTTTTTTAAACTCTTCCAGTTCCCAATGCTGTCCAGAGCCATTTTTCATCATGAAAAATGCATGCAAGAGTTTTCAAGGTGCTCAGATGGACAAAACACTTAACAGGATGGACAAAACACTTAACAGGATGTTCCTACCAAGCTTGTCACACATTGCAATGACCAATTTACACCTCAGACCTCTCCCACCCTTGGAAACAAAAGATATGTTAATGACCATTCACACCTCAAATTCCTTATGAAGACCCCCTGCCAGGTGACCTTAATGACTTACTCCACCAGACACCTTCCCACCCTTGGAAACAAAAGAAATGTTAATGAGCAACTCACACCTAATTATCTCAACACTTACTGCTGTGTCTGTTTCTACTGTGTGTATTTCTCTGAAATAGTTAATAATTTACCACTTTTCAGTCCTTTCTGGACATTTGGGAGGTTCTCCTGTGCTTATCTTTAAAAAACACTTCTAAACACAAAAGCGCATTAAACGCGCATAAACGCGTTATACAAACGCGGCTAAACAGACATTTTTTTAACCTACGTTTTCCAGCAGTCAGTTTCCATTGTTCCTGTGTACATGGGGCCTAACTCTTCTGGGAGCATCCAATGCCCATGTACCCTACTGCATGGTAGTCCTTCCTCTGACCCCCTTTGTCACTGCTGAGTCGTGCAATGAAAGGGGGTTGCAGGAAAAAAAACAGCAGACATACAGTGAGTATATGTTGTCTTCTTTGTAGGGGATTGCTGGATTTAAAACTTTGGAGACTTGTCAGAGAAGAGTATGGGGGCTGCAAGCGCAGACCTCCTTCTGAAAATGTTACTAGCCTCTTTGTATCTGGACTAAAGGAAAGCAGCTAAAAACACAGATGAATGAGTATACAGTATGCACACTTTCTTAACTACTAAAAGAGTTGTAATCCTGTTCAACTTTTACGGCTAGTCTTGTAATCCATGTACTGACGCCAGATAGCAAATTCAGGTCATGAATCTCTCAAAAGACTACACCGTGCTTGAACAATATAGCCTGGTCCAGGGCCTGTCCCAAACTACGACTGCACAGTGAATGAGCAGGAGTACACTGTTGGGTTGATCCTCTGCTCCCTCCTGTAAGCATGTTTAGTGTTAGATTGATAGCACTTATCAAGGCAATTGAGTTTTGACTGACTTGATTGTCTAGTAATCAGACAAGGTTTTCCCTAGTGGTATCTCTAATTTAGTTAATGATAATTCTTGTTTATGAACTTATAAAATTCCTTTATAAATGTCTTTCATGTAATCCATAACGCACATTTGTTAGTTGATAGTTTTTTTGAGTGTTTGAGCACTGACTTCAAGGAGGAAATTGGATAGCCTAATAACCTTCCTTTGTGCTCTGATAGAGAATGAAATAAAAGTGTGCAGACCTCTTTACTGGGGGGGGGGGGGGGGGTTGGGGGGGTGTATGAGGAATTTCCCACCCCAAACGGGATATTGAGCTAAACCTGTAGGTAAACAGGAGAACTAGAACATTTGCTAAGTTAATAAATATAATAAAATAATAATAAAGTTGGCAGTGCCTCCATGCAGAGCAGGGCCTCTGTGCATAGAGGGGATTCCCTTCCTGAGATATTACCAGCTATCTAATTAATGTAATTGGGAGCAAAAGAATTACTGCAACCAGCATATAACATAAACCATAAGTACAGTATATAGTAGAAACACACCAGTATGGGAACAATAGGAGCTCTATATTATAAAAGGATACTAATAGTACATACATCCAATGTATAAACAGGTAATATCAACAAAGTCCTGGTGGAATTGTGCACATACAGGTGAAACTCAAAAAATTAGAATATCGTGCAAAAGTTCATTTATTTCAGTAATGCAACTTAATAGGTGAACCTATTATATGAGATAGACTCATTACATGCAAAGCAAGATAGTTCAAGCCGTGATTTGTCATAATTGTGATGATTATGGCTTACAGCTCATGAAAACCTCAAATCCACAATCTCAGAAAATTAGAATATTGTGAAAAGGTGCAATATTCTAGGCTCAAAGTGTCCCACTCTAATCAGCTAATTAAGCCATAACACCTGCAAAGGGTTCCTGAGCCTTTAAATGGTCTCTCAGTCTGATTCAGTAGGAATCACAATCATGGGAAAGACTGCTGACCTGACAGTTGTGCAGAAAACCATCATTGACACCCTCCATAAGGAGAGAAAGCCTCAAAAGGTAATTGTAAAAGAAGTTGGATTCTCCCAAAGTGCTGTATCAAAGCACATTAATAGAAAGTTACGTGGAAGGGAAAAATGTGGAAGAAAAAGGTGCACAAGCAGCAGGGATGACCGCAGCCTGGAGAGGATGGTCAAGAAAAGGCCATTAAAAAGTGTTGGGGACTTTCACAAGGAGTGGACTGAGGCTGTAGTCAGTGCATCAAGAGCCACCACACACAGACGGATCCTGGACATGGGCTTCAAATGTCGTATTCCTCTTGTCAAGCTGCTCCTAAACAACAAACAACGTCAGAAGCGTCTTACCTGGGTTAAAGAAAAACAGACCTGGTCTGTTGCTCAGTTGTCCAAAGTCCTCTTTTCTGATGAGAGCAACTTTTGCATCTCATTTGGAAACCAAGGACCCAGAGTATGGAGGAAGAATGGAGAGGCACACACTGCAAGATGCTTGAAGTCCAGTGTGAAGTTTCCACAGTCTGTGTTGATTTGGGGAGCCATGTCATCTGCTGGTGTTGGTCCACTGTGCTTCATTAAGTCCAGGGTCAACGCAGCCGTCTAACAGGAGATTTTGGAGCACTTCATACTTCCTTCCGCAGATGAGCTTTATGGGGATGCTGACTTAATTTTCCAGCAGGACTTGGCACCTGCCCACACTGCCAAAAGCACCAAAACCTGGTTCAATGACCGTGGGATTACTGTGCTTGATTGGCCAGCAAACTCGCCTGACCTGAGCCCCATAGACAATCTGTGGGGCATTGCCAAGAGAAAAATGAGAGACATGAGACCGAACAATGCAGAAGTGCTGAAGGCCGCTATTGAAGCATCCTGATCTTCCATAACACCTCAGCAGTGCCACAGGCTGATAGCTTCCATGTCACGCCTCATTGAGGCAGTAATTGCTGCAAAAGGGGCCCAAACCAAGTACTGAGTACATATGCATGCTTATACTTTTCATAGGTCCGATATTGTTCTATGTACATTCCTATTCACATTCAGGCGCTCCCTCAAAACCCATCTCTTCAGGGAAGCCTACCCCACCCTCACCTAACGGCCATCCTCCCTCATTCCTCCCACCACTTCATCCCCCTCAGCCACTTCCTACTGTACCACTACCCCCTCCCTCCTAGATTGTAAGCTCGTAAGAGTAGGGCCCTCTTACCCCTCGTACGTTGTTTGTTGTTGTTGTACTGTGCCATGTATTGTCCCCCCTATTGTACAGCGCTGAGCAAACCCTTTGGCGCTATATAAACTCGTAGTAATAATAATAGTAATAATGTACAATCCTTGTTTTATTGATTGCATGTAATATTCTAATTTTCTGAGATTGTGGATTTGGGGTTTTCATGAGCTGTAAGCCATAATCATCATAATTATGACAAATCACAGCTTGAACTATCTTGCTTTGCATGTAATGAGTCTATCTCATATATTAGTTTCACCTTTTAAGTTGCATTACTGAAATAAATTAACTTTTGCATGATATTCTAATTTTTCGAGTTTCACCTGTATACCCGGGAATATATAGCTATAAAGAAACATCCAAATGAATGTTGCAGCAAAGTGCAGTTGCAGGGGCCCATGAGAATGATAACGATGCAGATCCCATCTTTGTGTCAATGACCTGAAGACAGAATTAATGATAATGGGGAGATCCTCCAACTATTGCTCAACCATCCTGGAACACAGCTTCTCACCAGCAGAAATTGTGGTGTGACATTGGAACTCAGTATCTACTATCTACTCTGCTAGTCCTTAGTAGCTTCTAATCTGCCATGCAACTGAACCTCTGACTACCTGCTAGGCGTCAGATGCCTAACCTGGGACTATCCTATGCTGGTTACCGAGCCCTGAGCTAACATTATCTATAGAATCCCAGACCTGAATGGGCAGGTTTAACAAGAATAACAGGAGTTGCATATAAACTCTATTGCAATAAACAGGTTCACCTATTAACATACAGCAAGATAGTTGACCCCACACTATGTCACAGACATAGTGCTTGTGAGTTAACAACAGGAGGAGAGATATATGTTTGTCAATATATATACATATGTATGTATATATTTTATATATTGTTCAGTATATACACCCAGAAACTATAGGAAACAAAAGTAAATTGTTAACCACCTCCTGCCCGCCATATAGTAATATGACGGATGCAAGGCAGTTCTCTCGTTCTGGGAGGACGTCATATGATGTCCTCCCATTCTAACCGCGCATGCACAGCTCCTGCAGCATGCAGCGCGCCGATCGGCGGTACACTGTGTCCCTCGGACACAGCAGATCACCGATCAACAGAAAGAGCTGAAGACGTCGGCTCGGTCATGTGATCAGCTGTGTCCAATCACAGCTGATCACATGTAAACAGGGAAATGACAGTTATCAGCATTTCTCTCCCCACGAGCTGTCACGCTGACAGCTCGTGAGGAGAGGAGAGCCGGTAATCTGCATTACTCAGAGGGGACATCTACACTGATCATCAGGGCACTGACGATCAGTGTGCCCTGATGATCTGTGTAGCACCAGCAGTGCCACCTGTCAGTGTACGTCAGTGCCAGCTCTCAGTGCTCATCCATGCCACCTGTCAGTGCCCATCAGTGCCACATCAGTGCCCATCAGTGCCACATATCAGTGCCCATCTGAGCTGCCTTTCAGTGTCACCCATCAGTGCCAGTCAGTGCCACCTATCAATGCCAGTCAGTGCCACATATCAGTGCTGCCAATCAGTGCCACCTATCAGTGCCAGTCAGTGCCGCCTATCAGTGCTGCCTAACAGTGCCAGTCAGTGCCGCCTAACAGTGCCAGTCAGTGCCACCTATCAGTGCCAGTCAGTGCTGTCTATCAGTGCCATATATGAGTGCTGCCTTGCAGTGCCCATCAGTGATGCCTGTCAATGCCCATCAGTGCCACCTACCAGTGCCTCCTCATCAGTGCCCATGAGTGCCACCTATCAGTGTCCATCAGTGCAGCCTATCAGTGCCCATCAGTGCAGCCTCATTAGCGCACATCAGTGAAGGAGAAAAATCACTTATTTACAAAATTTTATAACAAAAACTAAGAAAAAAACATTTTTTTCTTCAAAATTTTCAGTGGTTTTTGGTTTGTTTAAGAAAACAAAAACCAGAGGTGATTAAATACCACCAAAATAAAGCTCTATCTGTCAAAAAAAATGATAAAAATTTCATATGGGTACAGTGTTGCATGACCGCGCAATTGTCATTCAAAGTGCAACAGCACTGAAAGCTGGAAATTGGCCTGGGCAGGAAGAGGGTATAGGTGCCCTGTAGGCTAGTAGTTAAATATAGGAACACTTGCCTAATAATCCCTACTTCTGGTCTGGATTCAGCAGAAGCTCTTTTACAGAAAGCCTGGCTCGCAGTCTCCACTCTAATTAATCCTAAAGGTATTCTATCTGGTTGAGGTCAGGACTCTGTGAGGGCCAGTCCAGTTTCTCCACCCAAATTCGCTCATCCGTGTTTTTATGTACATTGCTTTGCGCACTGTTGCACAGTCATGTCGGAACAGGAAGGGACCATTCCCAAACTGTTCCCACAAAGTTGGGAGCATAAAATTGTCCAAAATGTCTTGGTATGCTGACACATTAAGAGTTCCCTTCACTGGAACTAAGGGGGTAAGTCCAACAGCTGAAAAACAACCCTACACCATAATCCCCCGCCACCAAACTTTACACTTGGCACAGTGCAGTCAGGCAAGTATTGTTCTACTGGCAACCACCAAACCCAGACACGTCCATCTGATTGCCAGACAGAGAAGCGTGGTTTGTCACTCCATAGAACACGTCTCCACTGCTCTAGAGTCCAGGTGCAGCATGCTTTATGCCACTGCATCCGACGCTTTGTATTGTATTTGGTGATGTAAAGCTTGGACGCAGTTGCTTGGTCATGGAAACCCATTCCATGAAGCTCTCTACGCACTGTTGTTGTGCTAATCTGAAGGCCACACAAAGTTTGAAGGTCTTTAGCTATTGACTCTGCAGACAGTTGGCGACTTCTGCGCACTGTGCACTTCAGCATGTGCTGATTCTGCTCTGTCATTTTATGTGGCCTACTACTTCGCGGCCGAGTTGCTGTTGTTCCCAGTTGCTTCCACTTTGTTATAATACCACTAACAGTTGACCTTTGTAATATTTAGTAGCAAGGAAATTTCACAGATGGACTTATTGCACAGATGGCAACCTATCATGGTACCACGCTTGAATTCAATGAGCTCCTGAGAGTAAACCAATCCTTTAACAAATGTCTGTAGAAGCAGTCTGCATGCTTAGGTTCTTGATTTTATACATCTGTGGCCATGGAGGTGATTGAAACACCTGAATCCAATGATTTGGAGGGGTATCCCAATACTTTTGGCAATATAGTGTGTGTATATGTATATATATATATATATATATATATATATATATATATATATATATATGCATTATGCATTTGTTATAAATAGATAATGTCAATATTATTGGCAGATCAATCAGCCCATAGCAGGGGAGTAACTAGAAAACACTGTTCCCAATAGCAAAATTTTGATTGGCCTTTACCCCAATTTGGCTGTAATGCCTATTTGCAAGTCTAAGTTCTTTATTTAAAGAAAGACAAGGGAGTACAAACACAGTCCTGTATCAGGTTTATTTACACTTCTAAACATTGTGTTAAGTGTGGATTGGTCTTCAAAGCAACTCTCTTTACTTCTCTGTACACTGATGGGTAAAGGTGAATTGCCTTATAGGACTACTATTTTAACCCTTAAAACTTGTACCCATTTTCAATAAAAACTGTGAGGTTGTAGTCAAGCAATCTGTAGTAGTCATTCTTTACTAAGGAACTGTTTCTATGCTGAGATTGAGCTGTACTGTATATAAAAAGGAATGAGCTTTTTTCACAGTTAGCTGACACTAAGCTGGTTTAAGTGGATGGGTCCATTCTGATCAAAGAACAAGAAGTCCTTGTTTAACCCCTGAGCCAGCAATTTTGCACTCCAGTTTCAGACATAGGCTGGGCCTTCTCAGCTCCCAATGGCCCATAGCAGCCTCATGGATTGCTATGGATGCAGTCATTAATTTGGCCCATTGCTGAACTGTTGCTCTGGTCCATATAGGGGATAAAAAGGTGTGAGAACTGAAGTGGTCAAGAGTGCAGGAAAGTCCATAATGGTGAAGTAAAGTATTAAATCCCTTTTACTGTATTCATAGTTGTGTAGTATTTTTTATTTCAGGCAACAGTAAAAGCTCAGTCTTCTGCTTAACATTAATACATATTCTCTCACATGTCGTTGAAGAAAACAATGAAAAATGCAACAGTTAATAATGTCCTCTGTTATGTTTTATTATCCCACAACTCTCCATTCAGATACATTGACCTAATTTGCCTTGACAGAAACATGGTCCAAGTATCAGAATTGTACTAGTGCGGGAATCGCTCAGCCATTTTGGGAATTCTCTTTCATTTGTAGTTAAGTTATTTTGTAGAGTACAATAAATATTATTCAGTATTGGCAGATTTAGCACTTGAGGGAGAGGAAACCAGTTTGTAGATTTAATTTAATGTTATTTTTTGAAAAAACAAAGCATTAATATCTTTTATGTAGCATGAACATCCTTGCATTGTCATGCTAGTCATTTTTCACATAGTTCATTTTGGTAATTGAAAAACATTGTTCTTATTTTTGTTACTGTAAGCATATTCACTTTGCTAAATAACACTTAATGAATTGTTATTGTATCACGACCTTCCCGGAGGCACATAAGCAGTGTACTAAAACTGTTGTATAATGTAACACAGCAAGAAGTAGAAAATGTGGGGGGGGGGGGAGCACAGTATGTTTTTGTGTTTCAATCTTTAAGTCCCCGAAGATGTTGCACTTTGGCAATAGTGATAATTCTAGTATAAAAAACAAAGAACAAAGAGCTTATCTGTCATGTGCTGCGTTTAACTGCTCTATTGTACTGCAAAATGCTCGGAAAATGTAAAATCTGCCTGTTTGCTTGAGACGACTACAATTCTCCTGCATGTCACCTAGTTAGTGTTTTAATTAACGGCCCTCTATAGCCAGGCTGACAAGTATTTCTAGAAAACTACACATGCTTGAAATGAATTGCTACATTTGACAAAGGAGTGTTTATACTCTGGGCCCAACATGCCAGATGGGTTGAATAAATGTATTTCTCTTTGTGTTTCATGTGGTGAAACTCAGTTTTGTGTGTTAGTGCCTGCAATTGTCATAATACAGATAACCACCTGAAATATGGTGAAAGGTACATTGAGCTGATGGGAACCTGAAACTCTATTTTTTCATATTTCTTCAAACACAATTGGATATTTGAATCGTACAGTACTTCTCAGGACCCAAATCTGAACCTACCTGCAAACTCTGCTGTGTCAGGCAGTATCTCTTCTTGCTAAGCCACCTGAGATGCTGGCCAACTCCCTGCCTGATTCCTTAGACAGTTTTTTTTCAACCAGGGTGCCCAGGCTCCCTGGGGTGCCTTAGCAAAATGCCTAAGCATGGTAGCCAATTAGCTTCTAACTTCAGGTTCATCAATTAACCGATTGCCAGCCACCCTATAGCAGAACTACTGCTACAGGACAGCAGGGCTGTGCAAAAACACACACACACACACATATATATATATATATATGTGATTTTGCATTTCCAGGTACTGGGCCTCAACTGCTGTAGATCACCGGGTCCCGGCCGGTGATTCTCTGCCGACACCCGACGATCGCTGAGTGTCACTGAGAGAGATCTGTATGTAAATGTCAGCTCTTGCACACTGCTTTCTATTGCTCTGCATAACAGAGTAATACAAAGCAATGTGCTTACACAGTAAAGCACACACACAGCACACAGTAAAACAGCACACAGTTAACCCTTTGATCGCCCCAGATGTTAACCCCTTCTTGTCCAGTGTCATCAGTACAGTGTCAGTGCTTTTTCATAGCACTGATCACTACATCAGTGTCCCTAGGGATGTCAGTGACAGTCAGTTTCCCCCCAGTGTCAGAATGCCTGCTGCAGTCCCGCAGTCCTGCTATAAGTCGCTGATCGCTGCCATTACTAGTATTAAAAAAAATCCAGTATATATCCTGTATATACAGTGGGGATCGAAAGTTTGGGCACCTCAGCTAAAAATTTGTATTAAAGTGCATAAAGAAGCCAAGGAAAGATGGAAAAATCTCCAAAAGGCATCAAATTACAGATTAGACATTCTTATAATATGTCAACAAAAGTTAGATTTGTAAACGCTTTTTGTAGCCAGCCAAGAGTCTTTCAGTTCTTGTTTGAGGTATCTTTGCCCATTCTTCCTTACAAAAGTCTTCCAGTTCTTTGCGATTTCTGGGCTGTCTGTCACGCACTGCTCTTTTAAGGTCTATCCATAGTTTTTCAATTATGTTGAGGTCAGGAGATTGTGAAGGCCATGGCAAAACCTTCAGTTTATGCCTCTTGATGTAATCCCCTGTGGATTTCAAGGTGTGTTTAGGATCATTACCCATTTGTAGAAGCCATCCTCTCTTTAACTTCAGCTTTTTCACAGATGGCATCAAGTTACCATCCAAAATTTGCTGAAATTTTATTGAATCCATTTTTCCTTCTACTCGTGAGATGTTCCCTGTGCCACTGGCTGCAACACAACCCCAAAGCATGATTGATCCAACCCCATGCTTAACAGTTGGACAGAGGTCCAACTATATATATATCCAGGATATATTATGATCCTAATTCACTCCCTGCCTCAACTACTGCAACTCCCTCCTCATTGGCTTATCTTTGAATAGGCTATCCCCCCTCCAGTCCATCATGAATACTG